TCAACACTTTTACACTATCCAACCCCCTACCCGTTATTTCCTCGTTACAGCAACAACTTTTCCCTTCTGCTTTTTGGGGATTTTTATTAGTTTTTTATTATTCAAATAACACTCCTGATTTTACTCAGTCAAACAACAAACATCCAACCTTCCTTCTTTTTTCTTTTTTTTTCTTCAGAAACAAACATCCACCCTTACTGATTTCCCGGAGAAATGATTTCTTTTGTCCCTATTTTTAGGCTTTTATTTGCTGTGGTTGAATATAAATAATCCTACATCGACAGTGTGAAAACTAAGAGAGACAAACTCACACATTTTTCCCTTCGTCAATCGTATCCGACCCCCAGTGCTTTTACCTTTAATCTTTTCCTTTTGAAGTCTTTAAATTGTGCATCATTTTTTCAACAGTGTGTTTTCTTTTAGTATATATCATTTTGGAGCATTATGCATGTTCTATGAGCATAGAATTATGGAGACACGACTTCATGGGAAAGCCGTAAGGAGAAATATTCTTCAAGCAGTATATACTGACGGTGACTACACAACTCAACCAATTTTGGGTTTGTTGTGAACTTTTTTATTTATTTCTTTTCTCTTGCAATTTGTTTGTCTTGGACACTAATACCCTAACTGCATAGCGTCATCGTCAATATAACAAACTTTCTGGTTTTTCTTCCATACTTTTCATGAAAGTATACCATGAAATGAAATTAAACAGAGGCTTATTGGTTTCAGGTTCCTTGACGACTAGAGGGGATATTGACAAGAGAGACTTCTCATTGTCTTTTCCGAACTCAAGTGAGTGAGCCTTTACCAGAAAGGATTCAGAGATTATTGTGCTAACTAATAACCTAAGGTATCTTTGCATGCCCTAATATTCATATAGCATTTTTATGTTTTGCTTGAATGTTATTACTAGCTTATTCTATTTCTAATCTTCTGTTAGATTCTTGAATAAAGCTTGCACCAAAAGAAATCTTCAACAAGACATAGCTTTAAGGCCAAAGGTAGAAACAAAGTTGGCAAATTTTCAAATTTATGGGAACTGTGTCTGCCCATGGAGCCAACCGGTGGCAGAATTTCAAATTTATGAGGCTTGTGTCTGTCCATGGAGCTAGCCGGAGCAAAATGAATGTAGTTTGGCTGTCAGTTATCGATAGCATGGTACCTATACTTCGTAATGGTAAGACCTTTATATATGAGTACTTTAAGCTCTTCTACTTGCTATAATCTGCTTTAATTACTTCCTCCTTTGCAGCTGGCCGGGCTTATGGTTCTTATGGTGAACAAATAACAAAAGTAAGATATAATGGGAATGACTCAAAGGAAAGAGAGAGAAGCATTATCTAATTGAGGGACTGATATTAAAGATGTCCAAGATTAGGTTGGAGGAAGGAGAAGAATGATCCAAAGTCTTGTGATAGAGCCCGATTGGTGTTCTTGGTGAACAATATGATGTTGCAGCCATGGGGTGGATATTTATTAAAGATATAACTTTTGACATTATATTACCTCTTTTTAGTATGAATTTGTCTAAGTTTCCCACTTATTGCATTCTTTTTGTCCCCCTTACACTGTTGTACTTGTCATATATTAGTTTGCCTAAGCTTGAGTATATAATTTTTTATAGAGATATTGAATTTTCTTTACATGTTCAAAACCCAATTCAGCCCAAGGATTAGATCCACTAAGAAATATCATTTTCTTAATTATATCTAGAGTTTAAATATTTGGCTTAACATATTTTCTTGAATGTTTTAAGTTAATATAAAAATTGATATTGAATACATTCTTAAAATCATTTGAAAAT